TCCTTGACATTTTATTTACTATTTAAGTTAATTTCTTCTGTGTCACTCTGGTGATTACAATTAAATTATAACAATCTAGTTCAGATTCATTTCTATTTAATTTCAGTAGTATACAAAATTGTTGATTCTATATATTTCCATTCTCTTCCCCATCCTCTATGATTTTATCATAACAATTTTTTTATGCATTGTTTTTCCATCAATGCAGATTTATAATTGTTATTTTTTGCATTTGTCTTTTAAATCAGGTAGGATGAAACACAGAGGTACAAACAAAAATTACACTTCTTTCATTTTGTGTATTTCCTTATGCAGGTACCTTTATCAGTGTTCTTTATTTCTTCATGGTCTTCAAATTACAGTTAGTGATTTTTCATTTCAGCATAAAAGTCTCTTTTTAGTCTCTCTTGTCAGGCAGACCTAGTAAAAAATTCTGTCCGTTCTTGTTTATCTGGACATACCTTTATTTCTCTTTCATTTGTAAGTTTTGCTTACAAACATTTTGATATAAAATGTTTGGTTCACATGTTTTTTCTTCCAACATTTTGAATATGGTATCCCATTGTCATCCATAATATTGGGTGAGAAATCAGTTGTTAATCTTATGGAGGATCTTTTGTATATGATCAGTTACTTCTTTTTCTGCATTCAAAATTTTCTCTTTATGTTTGTCTTTTGAGAGTTTAATTATAATGCTGTGTTGGTGTGCTTCTCATTGAGATTCCTGAATGTATGTATTAATAGACTCTGTGAAGTTTTCAGCCATTATTTTTTCAAATATTCTTTCTGCCTCTTTCACTCTCTACTTTTTCTCAAACTTCCATTGTGCATATTTTGGTATACTTGATGGTGTTCACAGGTCTCTGGAATTTTGTGCATTTTTCTTCACTCTGTTACCTTTCTGTTCCTTAGACTGGGTAATCTCAATTGACCAACCTTCCAGTTCACTAATTATTTCTTCTGCCGGCTTATATCTGCTGTGGAGCTCCTTCAGTGAATTTTTAATTTCAGTTCTTAATATTTTTCAACTCCAGAATTTCTGTTTGGTTTCTTCTTATGTCTTTATACTGATATACTACTTGATGTTATTCTCGTACATTTCTATAATTCTTTAGATAATTCTTTAGATTTATAATAGCAGATTTAAAGACACCTACTAAATTTAGAATTCATCTAAAGATCTTGCCTACAGCAATCATTACTTTGGTGTTGTAATGATTTGTTTTTTATAAAAGAATTTCCTCTTTCTTTATTAATTGAAATTCTTTGGTAAGGAATAGCTGACCTCTTCGCTCATTTATTCGTTTATTCAATCAATTATGTGTTTATATCAGTATGGACTTATGGATACTTACTTTACTATTTAAGTTATAATCCATTAGCAGCAGTATTTTAAAGATTTTAGTTTTTATTTTTGATTCAGGTGTACATGTGCAGGTTTTTATATAAGGAAACTCAAAATTTGGAGGTTTGGTGTACAGTTTGTTTTGTCACTTAGGTACTAAGCATAGTGCTCAAAATGTTTTTTTTGAACCTCTCCCTCCTCTCAGCCTCCTCTCTCAAGTAGGCTCCAGTGTCTGTTGTTCCTCTCTTTCTAGCAATGTGTTCTCCTTATTTAGCTTCCACTTATAAGCGAGAACATGGATTATTTTGTATTCTTTTTCTGCATTAGTTTGCTAAAGATAATGGCCTCCAGTTCTATCTGTTACAAAAATGTAAACCAAAACCACAATATTATATTTATTTATTTTACTCTTAGATTATTTTGGGTTTGACCATTGGTAGTTCTTTCATGTTGGCTTCCATAACATTTTTAATTCCTTTTATTTATTGTGCAGCCTTTATTGGTCATTGATCTTTCAGCAAAGTGCTGAAAGATCAATTACTTTATAGTAATACAGTTTAACTCTGGTACCCTACACTGTTGACCCAGGTGAGATGTAATGCTTCTTTAGGTTAATGCTTGTAATGTAATTCTTTTTCAGGTTAAAATGCTCCCAAACGTCATTATTGCCTGAATATTAAGTGCTGAAAAACAGCAGATACTTAATACACTAGCTTTAGGAAAAGGTTTCTGTTATCTGCATTAGCTTTTCAGTGGAGGAAAACCAAGATCTTTGCCTTTTATGTCATCCCACTTCTTCAAACATCATTCTTTAACACAGTTAAAAGATATTTAATGAAGAACTATAGATATTCTGTGCTTACAGTTTTGGATGAATATACATATAAATGACATGAAATAAAACATACCTTAAAATATACATATGGTTTTTAATAGTTAAAAATGTTTCAGCTGGGCATGGTGGCTCACACCTGTAATCATGGCACTTTGGGAGGCTGAGATGAGTGGATCACATGAGGCCAGGAGTTCAAGACCAGCCTGAGCAACAAGGTGAAACTCCATCTGTACTAAAAATGCAAAATTAGCCGTGTAGGGTGGCGCATGCCTGTAATCCCAGCTACTCAAGAGGTTCAGACAGGAGAATGGCATAAACCTGGGAGGCGGAGGTTTCAGTGAGCTGAGATCGCACAATTGCATTCAAGCCTGGGAAACAAGAGCAAAATTCCTCAAAAAAAAAAAAAAAAAAAAAAAAACCTTTCAATATTTATGGAAGTCAATCTTAGAAAAATACTAATGCCCAAATATATGTGGTGAAGTAAACCATAACTGTTTGTACAATTTGAGATTTTAGGATATCAGCAGGAAGAATTATAGAGATTTTCATATTAGCAGCTTCTCTCATGCTCCCAAATAGGTTACCATATCTTCTTTTTTTTTTTTTTTTAATACTTTAAGGTCTGGGATGTGCAGCAAACCACCATCTACATTAGGTATTTCTCCTAATGTTATCCCTCCCCTACCCCCGACAACCTGACAGGCTCCAGTGTATGATGTTCCCTTCCCTGTGTCCATGTGTTCTCATTGTTCAGCTCCCACTTATGAATGAGAACGTGTGGTGTCTGGTATAATGTTCCTATGTTAGTTTGCTGAGAATTATGGTTTCCAGCTTCATCCATGTCCCTGCAAATGACATGAACTCACAGTTTTTTGTGACTGCATAGTATTCCATGGTGTATATGTGCCACATTTTCTTTATCTAATCTATCATTGATGGGCATTTCAGTTGGTTCCAAGTATTTTCTATTGTGAATAGTGCTGCAATAAACATACATGTGCATATGTCTTTAGGGTAGAATGATTTATAATCCTTTGGGTATATACCCAGTAATGGGATCGCTGGGTCAAATGGTATTTCTGGTTCTAGAACATTGATGAATCGCCACACTGTCTTCCACAATGGTTGAATTAATTTACACTCCCACCAACAGTGTAAAAGCATTCCTATTTCTCCAAATCCTCTGCAGCATCTGTTGTTTCCTGACTTCTAATGATCGCCATTCTAACTGGCATGAGATGGTATCTTGTTGTGGTTTTGATTTGCATTTATCTAATGACCGGTGATGATCAGCTTTTTTCATATGTTTGTTGGCTGCATAAATGTCTTCTTTGAGAAATGTCTATTCATATCCTTCACCCACTTTTTGATGGGGTTGTTTTTTTTTCTTGTAAATTTCTTTAAGTTTCTTGTAGATTCTGGATATTAGCCCTTTGTCAGATGGATAGATGACAAAGATTTTCTCCCATTCTGTAGGTTACCTGTTCACTCTGATGATAGTTTATTTTGCTGTGCAGAAGTTCTTTAGTTTCCTTAGATCCCAGTGGTCAATTTTGGATTTTGTTGCCATTGCTTTTGGTATTTTAGCCATGAAGTCTTTGCCCATGACTATGTCCTGAGTGGTATTGCCTAGGTTCTCTTCTAGAGTTTTTATGGTTTTAGGTCTTGCATTTAAATTTTTAATCCACCTTGAGTTAATTTTTTTATAAAGTGTAAGGGAGGGATTCAGTTTCAGTTTTCTGCTTATGGCTAGCCAGTTTTCCCAACACCACTTACTAAATAGGGAATCCTTTCCCCATTTCTTGTTTTTGTCAGGTTTGTCAAAGATCAGAGGGTTGTAGATGTGTGGCATTATTTTTGAGTCTTTTGTTCCATTGGTCTATATATCTGTTATGGTACCAGTATCATGCTAATTTGGTTGCTGTAGCCTTGTGGTATGCTTTGAAGTCACATAGCCTGATGACTCCAGCTATGTTCTTTTTGCTTAAGATTGTCTTGGCTGTACAGGCTCTTTTTTGGCTCCATATGAAATTTAAAGTAGTTTTTTTCTAATTCTATGAAGAAATTCAATGGTAGCTTTATGGGGATAGCATTGAATCTATAAATTACTTTGAGCAGTATGGCCATTTTCACGATATTGATTTTGCTTATCCATGATTACCGAATGTTTTTCCATTTGTTTGTCTCTTATTTCCTTGAGCAGTGATTTGTAGTTCTCCTTGAAGAGGTCCTTCACATTCCTTGTAAGTTGTATTCCTAGGTATTTTATTTTCTTTGCAACAATTTTGAATGGGAGTTCACTCATGATTTGACTCTCTGTTTGTCTATTATTGGTGTATAGGAATGGTTGCAATTTTTACACATTGATTTTGTATCACGAGATTTTGCTGAAGTTGTTTATCACCTTAAGGGGATTTTGGGCTGAGACAATGGGGTTTTCTAAATATACAATCATGCCATCTGCAAACGGAGACAGTTTGACTTCCTCTCTTCCTATTTGAATACACTTTATTTCTTTTCTTGCCTGATTGCCCTGGCCAGAACGTCCAATACTATGTTGAGTAGGAGTGGAAAGAGAGGTCATCCTTGTCTTGTGCCAGTTTTCAAAGGGAATGCTTCCAGCTTTTGCCCATTCCATATGATATTGGCTGTGGGTTTGTTATAAATAGCTCTTATTATTTTTAGTTACATTCCATTAATACCTAGTTTATTGAGAGTTTTTAGCATGAAGGGTGTTGAACTTTATTGAAGGCCTTTTCTGCATCTATTGAGATAATCATGTGGTTGTTGCCATTGATTCTGTTTATGTGATGGATTATATTTATACATTTGCATATGTTGAAACAGCCTTGCATCCCAGTGATGAAGCCAACTTGATCGTGGTGGATAAGTTTTTTAATGTGCTTCTGGATTCAGTTTGCCAGTAGTTTATCGAGGATTTTTGCATCGATGTTCATCAGGGATATTGGCCTGAAATTTTCGTGTCTCTGTCAGGTTTTGTTATCAACATGATGGTGGTCTCATAAAATTAGTTAGGGAGGAGTCTCTCTTTTTCTATTATTTGGAATAGTTTCAGAAGGAATGTTATCAGCTCCTCTTTGTACCTCTGGTAGAATTTGGCTGTGAATCCGTCTGGTCCTGGGCTTTTTTACATTAGTATGCTACTAATTACAGCCTCAATTTGAGAATTTGTTATTGTTCTATTCAGGGATTCGACTTCTTTCTGATTTAGTCTTGGGAGGGTGTATGTGTCCAGGAATTATCCATTTTTTCTAAATTTTCTAGTTTATTTGCATAGAGGTGTTTATAGTATTCTCTGATAGTAGTTTGTATTTCTGTGACATCAGTTGTCATATCCCCTTTATTATTGTTTATTGTGTCTATTTGATTCTTCTCTCATCTTTATGACTCTGGCTAGCAGTCTATTTTTTTAATATTTCCAAAAAACCAGCTTCTGGATTCATTGATTTTTTTAAACGATTTTTTGTGTCTCTAGCTTCTTCAGTTCTGCTCTGATCTTAGTTATTTCTTGTCTTCTGCTAGCTTTTGAGTTTGTTTTCTCTTGCTTCTCTAGTTCTTTTAATTGTGATGCTGCTCTGTCAATTTTAGATCTTTCCTGCCTTCTCCTGTGGGCTTTTAGTGCTATAAATTTTCTTCTAAACAGTGCTTTAGCTGTGTCCCAGAGATTCTGATACTTTGTGTCTTTGTTCTCATTGGTTTCAAATAACTTTTTATTTCTGCTAATTTTGTTATTTACCCATTAGTTATTCAGGAGGAGGTTGTTCAGTTTCCATGTAATTATGCAGTTTTGAGTGAGTTTCTTAATCCTGAGCTCTAATTTGATTGCACCCTGGTCTGATAGACAGTTATGATTTCTGTTGTTTTGCATTTTCTGAGGAATGTTTTACTTCCGATTATGTGATCAGTTTTACAAGAATTGTGATATGGTGCTGAGAATAATGTATATTCTGTTGATTTGGGGTGGAGAGTTTAGTAGACGTCTATTAGGTCCACTTGGTGCAGAGCTGAGTTCAGGTCCTGAATATCCTTGTTAATGTTCTGTCTCTGATCTGTGTAATATTGACAGTGGGGTGTTAACGTCTCCACTATTATTGTGTTGGAGTCTAAGTCTCTTTGTAAGCCTGTAAGAGCTTGCTTTATGAATCTAGGTGCTCCTGTATTGGGTGGATATATATTTAGGATAGTTAGCTCTTATTGTTGCATTGATCCCTTTATCATTATGTGATGCTCTTCTTTGTCTGTTTTGATCTTTGTTGGTTTAATGTGTATTTTATTAGAAACTGGGATTGCAACCCCTGCTTTTTTTTTTGCTCTCCATTTGCTTGTTAAATCTTCCTTCATCTCTTTATTTTGAGCTTATGTGTGCCTTTGCATATGAGATGAGCCTCCTGAACACAGCACACCAGTGCGTCTTGACTCTTTATCCAATTTGCCAATCTGTGTGTCTTTTAACTGGGGCATTTAGTCCATTTACACTTAAGGTTAATATTTTTTTGTGTGAATTTGATCCTATCATTATGATTCTAGCTGGTTATTTTGCCCATTTCTTGATGCAGTTTCTTCATAGTGTTGATGGTCTTTACAATGTGGTATGTTTTTGCAGGTACTGGTTTTTCCTTTCCATATTTAGTGCTTCCTTTAGGGGCTCTTGTAATGCAGGCCTGGTGGAGACAAAATCTCTCAGCATTTGCTTGTCTGTAAAGGATTTCATTTCTCCTACACTTATGAAACTTAGTTTGGCTGGATATTAAATTCTGGGTTAAAAAATGCTTTTCTATAAGAATGTTGAATATTGATCCCCACTCTCTTCTGGCTTGTATGGTTTCTGTAGAGAGATCTGCTATTAGTCTGATGGGCTTCTTTTTGTGGGTAACCCCACCTTTCTCTCTGGCTGCCCTTAACGTTTTTTTCTTCATTTCAACCTTGGTGAATCTAATGATTATGTGTCTTGGGCTTGCTCTTCTCAAGGGGTATCTTTGTGGTGTTCTCTGTATTTCCCGAGTTTGAATGTTGGCCTGTCTTGCTAGGTTGGGGAAGTGCTCCTGGATAATATCTTGAAGCGTGTTTTCCAACTTTCTTCCATTGTCCCTGTCACTTTTAGGTACACCAATCAAATGTAGGTTTGGTCTTTTCTCATAGTCCCATATTTCTTGGAGGTTTTGTTTGTTTTCATTCTTTTTTCTGTAATCTTGTCTTCACATTTTATTTCATTAAGTTGATTTTCAATCTCTCATATCCTTTCTTCAGCTTGATCGATTCACCTATTGATACTTGTGTATGCTTCACAACGTTCTCATTCTGTGTTTTTCAGCTCCAGCAGGTAATTTATAATCTTCTCTAAACTGTTTATTCTAGTTAGGAATTTCTCTAACCTTTTTTTTTTTTTTTAAGGTTCTTCGTTTTCTTGCATGGGGTTAGAACATGTTTCTTTAGCTCAGAGGATTTTGTTATTACCTATTTTCTGAAGGCTACTTCTGTCAATTCATCAATTTCATTCTCCATCCAGTTTTGTTTACTTGCTGTCGATGAGTTGTGATTCTCAGGAGAAGAGGCATTCTGGGTTTTGGAATTTTCAACCCTTTTGCACTGGCTGTTGCTCATTTTTGTGGATTTAACTACCTTTGGTCTTTGATGTTGGTGACCTTTGGATGGGGTTTCTGTGTGGAGATTTTTGTTGTTGTTGTTGTTCATATTGACACTCTTCCTTTCTGTCTGTTAGTTTTTCTTCTAACAGTCAGGGCCCTCTGCTGTAGGTCTGATGGATTTTGTTACAGGTCCACTCCAGGCCCTCTCTGCCTGGGTATCACCAGCAGAGTCTGCAGAACAGCAAAGATTGCTGCCTCTTCCTCCCTCTGGAAGCTCCGACCTAGAGGGACATCCCCCAGATGCCAGCCAGAGCTCTCCTGTATGAGGTATCTGTAGACCCCTGCTGGAAGTTGTCTCTCAGTCAGGAGGCATGGGGGTGAGGGACCCACTTGAGTCAGTAGGTTCCTTAGCAGAGCTCGAGTGCTGTGCTGAGAGATCTGCTGTTCTCTTCAGAGCCAGCAAGTGGGAATGTTTAAGTCTGCTGAAGCTGTGCTCACAGACACCTCTTCCCCTAGGTGCTCTGTCTCAGGGAGATTGGAGTTTTATCTATAAGCCCCCGACTGGGGCTGCTGCCTTTCTTTCAGAGGTGCCTTACTCAGAGAGGAGGAATTTATATAGGCAGTCTGACTTCAACAGCTTTGCCGAGTTGTGGTGGGCTCCACCCCATTCAAACTTCCCAGCAGCTTTCTTTACACTGTAAGTGGAAAACTACCTACCAAGCCTTAGTAATGGCAGATGCTTTTCCCTACATTAAGCTCAAGCATCCCAGATCAACTTCAGACTGCTGTGCTGGCAATGAAAATTTCAAGCCAGTGTATCTTAACTTGCTGGGCTCCATGGGGGTGGGATCTGCTGAGCTAGACCACTTAGCTCCCTTTCCAAGGGAGTGAACAGTTCCTTCTCACTTGCATTCCAGGTGCCACTGGGGTATGAACAAAAAACTCCTGCAGCTAGCTAGATGTCTGCCCAAACAGCTGTCCAGTTTTGTGCTTGAAACTCAGAGCCGTGGTGGTGTATGCACCCATACAGACCAGGGAATCTCCTGGTCTGCGGGTTGCAAAGACTGTGGGAAAAGCATAGTATCTGGGCCAGGATGCACCATTCCTCATGGCACAGTCCCTCATGGCTTTTCTTGTCTAGGGGAGGGAATTCCCTACCCCTTGTGCTTCCCAGGTGAGGCAATGTCCCACCGTGTTTTGGCTTGCCCTTCATGGGCTGCACCCACCATCTAACCAATCCCAATGAGATGAGCCAGGTACCTCAGTTGGAAAAGCAGAGAAATCACCCACCTTCTCCATTGAACTCGCTGGGAGCTGCAGACCAGAGCTGTTCCTATTTGGGCATCTTGCCAGACACTTCGGTTACTGCATCTTTATAGTCTCTAATTCCTTTATTTACCCTCTCTGTAATCTTTCTTTTCTAGTACTTCTTTTCTTGTGGCATGATGGAGGCTTCAGGACAGTCTTGTATTTTTCTTGCCCCATCTTTAGAATCAACAATTTTTTGAAGTGTCCCTGGGTCATTTTTTTATAAAGTGGTCTCAGATCTGGGGGTTAGATGTGCCTGATTCTACTAGGTATTATTAATTTTATGCTCTCTAACAGGAAAGAGCTATGGAATACATGAATGCATTTTTTTTTGACAGAGTCTTGCTCTGTTGCCCAGGCTGGAGTGCAGTGGTCAATCTTTACTCACTGCAACCTCTGCCTCTGGAGTTTAAGCAATTCTCCTGCTTCAGCCTCCTGAGTAGCTGAGAATACAGACTCATGCCACCACACCTGGCTAATTTTTTGTATTTTAGTTATAGTGGGGTTTCACCCTGTTGCCTAGGCTTGTCTCAAACTCCTGAGCTCAGGCAATCCACCTGCCTCAGCTTCCCAAAGTATTGGGATTACAGTCATGAGCCACTACGCCTGGCCACATACATGAATGCATTCTAATCCATGCACACATCTGTATTAGTTTCCTATTGTGGCCGTATCAACACAAACTTTGTGCCTTAAATCAATGAAAATTTGTTATCTTACATATTTGGAGGTCACAAGTCCTAAATAGTGTGAGCTCCTTTTGGAGACTATATGAAAGCATCCATTTCCTTGCCTTTTCCAGCAACTAGAGCCTGCACACATTTTTGAGCTCATAGTATGCCTTGCATCTCTCTGATCTTTGCTTCTCTCATCACATTGCCTCCTGGTGTTATGACCCACATGCCACCCTCTTATAAGGACCTTTGAGATTATATTGCACATTGTACTCAAGTGGTTAATCCAGGATGATTTCTCCATCTCAACATCCTTAATCACATCCTCTTAGCCATCTAAGATAACTTTTTCACAAGGTCCTTGGATTAGGACATGGACATCTTTTTGAGGAGGGAGGATTATTGAGCGTACAACAATACCCATCTTTATATTTAATTTTGTGTCTATTTCTATATAATCAAATAGTCATGATTTCAAACTAATGTGTCCAACTCTAATTCAACACTACTTGTTGTAGTCTAACATTCTTGCCTACGTTGTTATTAGTTCTCACGCTGTCTAATTTGTCTGAGACAAATCAGAGACTGGGTAATTTATAAAGGAAAGAAGTTTAATTGACTCACAGTTCCACAGGGCTGAGGAGGCCTCAGGAAACTTACAATTATGGGGGAAGAGGAAGCAAATATGTCCTTCTTCACATGGCGGCAGGAAGGAGAAGAATGACTGCCCAACGAAGGGGGATGCTCATTATAAAATTATCAGATCTCATGAGAACTAACTCGTTTTCATGAGAACAGGATTGGGGAAACTGCCTCCATGATTCAGTTATCTCCACCTGGTCCCTCCCATGACACGTGGGGATTATGGTAACTAAAATTCAAACTGAGATTTGGGTGTGGACACAGTCATATAATATCAATGTATAAATTTTTCTGACATTAAGAAATCTAGTTATCATTATCTATAATGTATTTACTTGTCTATATGTATATATGTTAAGTTGTTTCAAAATTGCTAAAACTAGATCCTCTGCAAAATAAATTTAACCAGCCAGAAAGTACAGCATTTGTGTATAGCTCCTTTCATCTTCAACTTTACAGTATCTGTAAAACATGCCTTTAAAAAGTATTTTGACCAGTGTTTTTTTATTCTCACTCCCTTAAATGTGGTAACATCATACATTTGTAATACATTTAGATTCACTTATTATAGTCTGTGTGTCATGCTAAGATCCTGTAATATTCTTATTGGTTTTGTTTATTTGTTTTTAACCTATAATTTTTGCTCTTTGCTGTGTTCAGGTCTAGGGGTTTTCATGAATAGATTTATATATCTTCTACCACAATGTGATATAGTAGAGTTCCACCATCCTAATAATTGTCTTGTGTGTCTCCTTGACATTCAGACAGCCCTCCCCCAATCTTTGTCTACAAATTGTCTGTTTCCTTTTTTACTATCGTTTTGTCTTTTTCAGAATGTCATTTGAATGGAATCATACAATTTGCAGCCTTTTTATCTAGTTTTTTAGCAAATGTATTTAAGATTATCATGTGTTCTGTGAATCAATATAAATATTAGTCCATCATACAGATATACTAAATTTTGCTTATCTATTTATCTGTTGAAGGACATCTGGAATTTATCCAGTTTTTGGCAATTATGAATAATGCTACTGTAATCATTCATGTACAGGTTTTTGTGTGAATATATGCTTTCAATTCACTTGGGTAATGACCTAAAAATAAGACTGCTGACTCATATAGTAAATGTATTTTTAAATTTACTAGTTACTGCCAACCCATGTGGTATTGTCTTTTATCATTTTTTTCTCCAATTTCTGTTTTTTAGTTTATAGAAATATAAATGATTTTTTTGTATGTTGACTATATTCTGGGATGTTGCTGTATTTGCTTGTTAGATCTAATAGTTTTTGTAAATCTCTTTGAATTTTTTTTGTAAGCAATCGTGTCCTCTGTGAATAACAAGTCATTCATTACTAAGAGAGTGCCAGCAGCCCTTACTCATCTCTAGAAAAAAAGATATTCTAGAATTTAAAGATAAAACACTGTCCTTTATATTACTGAAGTGGTCCAATTTAATTAGCCTGCCACCAGGTAGCTTGCTATCCCAGGATATGGTCACACCATTGCCACTTTGTTTGTGAACCCACTGAGCAACGACGGTGGCTGAGAAAAGAGTTTGACTAGTATCCACAGAGTAGGTTATTCTATCCACCTGATTATCAAAGTCCTCCTCTGCTGATGTCATTCTTTGGAGTGTATTGACACGGGACAAAAATATTTTCATATCCTTTACCCACTCAGAGTTTTATTCACATATCACTTTTCCAAGTCAGCGTAATGTCATCAATATAACACACCAATGTGATATAGTGTCTGGGGAAAAGGCAGTCAAGATAGCTACAAACTAAACTGTAATATAAGGCTGGAGATAAGGTAGGAAAATGAAAGTATATTGCTGGCTCCGCCAGCTGAAAACAAACTACTTCTGGTGGGTTTTTTTTTTTTTTTATATATATACTTTAAGTTCTGGGGTACATGTGCAGATCGTACATGTTTATTACATAGGTATACATGTGCGATGGTGGTGGTTTGCTGCATCCATCACCCCATCATCTACATTAGGTATTTCCTCTAATGCTATCCCTCCACAATCCCCCCATCCCCTGCTATTCCTACCCTAGCCCCTACCCCCTAAACCTGGTGTGTGATGTTTCTTACACACCAGGTGTGTTCTCATTGTTCAAAACCCACTTATGAGTGAGAAAATGTGGCGTTTTGGTCTCTGTTCTTGTGTCAGTTTGCTGAAAATGATGGTTTCCAGCTTCATCCACGTCCCAGCAAAGGACATAAACTCATCCTTTTATTTATTTATTTATTTTTTTTGAGACGGAGTTTTACTCTTGTTACCCACGCTGGACTGCAGTGGCATGATCTTGGCTCACCGCAACCTCCGCTTCCTGGGTTCAAGCAATTCTCCTGCCTCAGCCTCTCGAGTAGCTGGGACTACAGGCATGCACCACCATGCCCAGCTAATTTTTGTATTTTTAGTAGAGACAGGGTATCACCATGTTGACCAGGATGGTCTCCATCTCTTGACCTCGTGATCCACCCGCCTCGGCCTCCCAAAGTGCTGGGATTATAGGCGTGAGCCACCGTGCCTGGCCAACTCATCCTTTTTTATGGCTGCATAGTATTCCATGTTGTATATGTGCCACGTTTTGTTTATCCAGTCTATCATTGATGGACATTTGGGTTGGTTCCAAGTCCTCTATTGTGGACAGTGCCACAATAAACATAACATGTGCATGTGTCTTTATATTAGAATGATTTATAATCTTTTGGGTATATACCCAGTAATGAGATTACTGGGTCAAATTTTATTTCTATTTCTGGATCCTTGAGGAATCGCCACACTGTCTTCCATAATGGTTGAATTAATTTACACTCCCACCGACAATGTTTTTACACTTTTACTTGCGTTCTTATTCCTCCACATCCTCTCCAGCATCGGTTGCCTCTTGATTTTTTAATAATCTAACTGATGTGAGGTAATATCTCAATGTAGTTTTGATTTGTTAATGACCAGTGATGTTGAGCTTTTTCTCATAGTTTGTTGGCTGCATAAATGTCTTCTTTTGAAAAGTGTCTGGTCATATCCTTTGCCCACTTTTTGATGGGGTTGTTTGGTTTTTTTTTCTTGTAAATTTGTTTAAGTTATTTATAGATTCTGGATAGTAACATTTGTCAGATGGGTATATTGCAAAATTTTTTCCCATTCTCTTAGTTGCCGGTTCACTCTAACGATAGTTTCTTTTGCTGTGCAGAAACTCTTAAGTTTAATTAGATCCCATTTGTCTATTTTGGCTTTTTTTGCCATTGCTTTTGGTATTTTAGTCATGAAGTCCTCGCCTATGCCTATATCCTGAATGGTATTGCCTAGGTTTTCTTCCAGAGTTTTTATGGTATTAGGCCTCATGTTTAAATCTTTAATCCATCTAGAGTTATTCTTGTATAAGGTGTAAGGAAGGGATCCACTTTCAGCTTTCTGCATATGGCTAGCCAGTTTTCCCAACATTATTTATTAAATAGGGAATCCTTTCTCCATTGTTTGTTTTTGTCAGGTTTGTCAAATATCAGATGGTTGTAATTTTGTGACATTCTTTCTGATGCCTCTGTCCTGTTCCATTGGTCTATATCTTTGTTTTGGTACCAGTACCATGCTGTTTTGATTACTGTAGCCTTGTAATATAGTTTGAAGTCAGGTAGTGTGATGCCTCCAGCTTGGTGGGTTTTTTTTGTTTTGTTTTGTTTTTCTGTTTCTTTGTTGTTGTTGTTGTTGTTGTTTTGTATTGCTTAAAATTATCTTGGCTATGTGGGCCCTTTTTTGGTCCCATATGAAGTTTAAGGTGGTTTTTTTTTTTTTTCAATTCTGTGAAGAAAGGTATTTGTAGCTTGATGGGGATAGCATTGAATCTATAAATTACTTTGGGCAGTATGGCCATTTTCACTATATTGATTCTCCATAACCATGAGCATAGGATGTTTTTCCATCTGTTTGTATCCTCTCTTATTTCCTAAATCAGTGGTTTGTAGTTCCTCTTGAAGAAGTCCTTCACGTCCTTTGTTAGTTGGATTCCTAGGTATTTTATTCTCTTTGTAGCAATTGTGAATGGGAGTTCACTCATGATTTGGCTCTCTGTTGGTCTATTATTGATGTATAGAAATGCTTGTGACTTTTGCACATCGATTTTGTATCCTGAGGCTTTGCTGAAGTTGCTTATCAGCTTAAGGAGATTTTGGGCTAAGACAATGGGATTTTCTAAATATACTATCATGTCATCTGCAAACAGGAACAATTTGATGTCCTCTCTTCCTATTTAAATACCCTTTATTTTTTTCTCTTGCCTGATGGCCCTAGCCAGAACTTCCAATACTATGTTGAATAGGAGTAGTGAGAGAGGTCATTTTTGTCTTATGCCAGTTTTTAAAGAAAATGCTTCCAGTTTTTGCCCATTCAGTATGATAGTGGCTCTGGGTTTGTCTTTGGTTCTGTTTATGTGATGGATTACCTTTATATATTTGTGGATGCTGAAACCAATCTTGCATCCTCTAGATGAAGCCTACTTGATCATGATGGATAAGCTTTTTAATGTTCTGTTGGATTTGGTGTGCCAGTATTTTATTGAAGATTTTTGCATCAATATTCATCATGGATATTGGCCTGAAATTTTCTTTTTTAGTTGTGTCTCTGCCAGGTTTTGGTATCAGGATGATGTTGGTCTCATAAAATGAGTTAGGGAGGATTCCCTCTTTTTGTAGTGTTTGGAATAGTTTCAGAAGGAATGGTAAAAGCTCCTCTTTGTAACTTTGGTAGAATTCAGCTATTAACCCATCTGGTTCTAGACTTTTTTTGGTTGACAGGCTTTAATTGCTGCCTCAACTTCAGACCTTGTTATTGGTCTAAGCAGGAATTCAACTTCTTCCTGATTTAGTCTTGGGAGGGTTTAAGTGTCCGGGAATTTATCCGTTTCTTCTAGATTTACTGGTTTATCTACATAGAGTTGTTTGTAGTAATCTCTGATGACAGTTTGTGTTTCTGTGGGATTGGTGGAGATATCCCCTTTATCATTTTCATTGCATCTATTTAAATCTTCTCTCTTTTCTTTTTTATTAGTCTTGCTAGCGGTCTATTTTGTTGATCCTTTGAAATAACCAGCTCCTGGATTTATTGATTTTTGAAGTGGTTTTTTTGTGTGTGTCTCTATTTCCTTCAATTCTACTCTGATCTTAGTTATTTCTTGTCCTCTGCTAGCTTTTGAGTTTTCTTGATCTTGCTCTTCTAGTTCTTTTAATTGTGATACTAGTGTGTCAATTTTAGAACTTTCCTGCTTTCTCCTGTGGGCTTTTAGTGTTATAAATTTTCCTCTAGACACGCTTTAAATGTGTCCCAGAGATTCTTGTCCCTTGTGTCTTCATTCTCATTGGTTTTGAAGAACATATTTATTTATGCCTTCATTTCATTATTTATCCAGTAATCATTCAGGAGCATGTTGTTTAGTTTCCATGTAGTTGTGTGGTTTTGAGTGAGTTTCTTAATCTTCTGTTCTAATTTGATTGCACTGTGGTCTGAGAGATTGTTATGATTTCTGTTCTTTTGCATTTGCTGAGGAGTGTTTTACTTCAAATTATGTGGTCAATTTTATAATAAGTGTGATGTGGTGGTGAGAAGAATGTATATTCTGTGGTTTTGGGGTGGAGAGTTCTGTAGATGTCTATTAGGTCCTCTTAGTCCAGATCTGAGGTCAAGTCCTGGATATCCTTGTTCAATTTCTGTCTCATTAATCTGTCTAGTATTCACAATGGAGTGTTAGTCTCCCAGTATTATTGTGTGGAAGTCTAAATCCCTTTGCAGGTCATTAAGAACCTGCTTTATGTATCTGGGTGCTCCTCTTTTGGGTGCATATATATTTAGGATAGTTAGCTCTTCTTGTTGCATTGATCCCTTTACCATTATGTAATGCCCTTCTTTGTGTCTTTTGATCTTTGTTGGTTTAAAGTCTATTTTGTAAGAGACTAAGATTGCAACCCCTGCTTTATTATTTTGCTCTCCATTTGCTTGGTAAATCGTCTTCCATCCCTTTATTTTGAGTCTATGTGTGTCTTTGCATGTGAGATGGGTTTCCTGAATACAGCACACAGATGGGTTTTGACTTTTTATCCAATTTGCCAGTCTGTGTCTCTTAATTGGGGCATTTAACCCATTTACATTTAAGATTAATATTGTTATGTGTGATTTTGGTCTGCCATTTTGATTCTAGCTGGTTCTTTTGCCGGTTAGTTGATGCAGTTTCTTCATAGTGTCAATGGTCTTTACAGTTTCGTGTGTTTTTGTGGTGGCTGGTACTGATTGTTGCTTTCCATGTTTAGTGCTTCCTTTAGGAGCTCTTCTAGGGCAGGCCTGGTGGTGATGAAATCTCTCAGGCATTGCTTGTCTGTAAAGGGTTTTATTTCTCCTTTGCTTATGAAGCTTAGTTTGGCTGGATATGAATTTCTGGTTTGAAAGTTCTTTTCTTTAAGGATGTTAAATATTAGCCCACATTATCTTCTGACTTGTAGGGTTTCTTCCAAGAGATCTGCTGTGAGCCTGATGGGCTTTCCTTTGTGCTTAACCCAACCTTTCTGGCTGCCCTTAGCATTTTTTTCTTCTTTTCAACCTTGGTGAGTCTGACAATTATGTGCCTTGGGGTTGCTCTTCTTGAGGAATATCTTTTTGGTGTTCTCTGTATTTCCTGTATTTGAATGTTGGCCTGCCTTGCTAGTTTGGGAAAATTCTCCTCAATAATATCCTGAAAAGTGTTTTCCAACTTGGTTTCATTCTCCTAGTCACTTTCAGGTACACCAGTCAAGCGTTGATTTTGGCCTTTTCACATAATTTCATATTTCTTGGAGACTTTCTTTGTCTCTTTTCACTCTTTTTTCTCTAATCTTGCCTTCTTGCTTTATTTCTTTGAGTTGATCTTCAATTTCTGATGGCCTTTCTTCAGCTTGATTGATTTGGCTATTGAAACTTGTGTATGCTTCATGGAGTTCTCGTGCGGTGTTTTTCAGCTCCATCGTGTTGTTTATGTTCTTTTCCACACTGGTTATTCTCGCTAGCATTTTGTCTAACCTTTTTTCAACACTCTTGGTTTTCTTGCATTGAGTTAGAACATGCTCTTTTAGCTAGGAGATGTTTGTTTTTACCCACCTTCTGAAGCCTGCTTCTGTCAATTTGTCACACTAATTTTTCATCCAGTTTTGTTTTCTTGCTGGTGAGGGCCTGTAATCCCTTGGAGAAGAGACATTCTGGCTTTTGGCGATTTTAGCCTTTTTGCACTGGCTCCTTCCCATTTTCATGGATTTTTCTACCTTTAGTCTTTGAATTTGGTGACTTTTGGATGTGGTTTCTGAGTAGGCATCCTTTCTGTTGATGTTGAAGCTATTTCTTTCTGTTCATTAGTTTTCCTTTTAACAGCCAGACCCCTCTGCTGCAAGTCTGCTGGAGTTTGTTGGAGGTCCACTCCAGACGGTGCTTGCCTGGGAATCACCTGCGGGGGCTGTAGAACAGTAAAGATTGCTGCCTCTTCCTTCCTCCGGTAGCTTCATCCCAAAAGGGTACCTGCCAGATGTCATCCAGAGCTCTCCTGTATGACATATCTCCCAGATAGAATACACGGGGGTCAAGAAGCCACTTGAAGAGGCAGCCTCTCCATTAAGGGAGCTCAAGCACTGTTCTGGGGTCCCCATTGCTCCCTTCAGGGCTGCTGGGCAGGAACATTTAAGTCTGCTGAAGTGGACCCCACAACTGCCCCTTTTCCCAGGTGCTCTGTCCCAGGAAGTTGAGGGCTTTGTAAGTCCCTGATGGGCTGCTGTCTTTTTTTTTTTTTTTTTTTTTTCCTGAGTTGCCCTGTCCCACAAGAAGGGAATCTATAACAGTCTGCCTGCAGGGGCCTTGCTGAGCTTTTCAGGGGAATGGGAGGGTCTGTCTCACTGGTGTTCCAGGTGCCACTTGTTTAAACCAGGTGCCCAGTTTTGTGCTGGAAACCCTGGGCACTGGCGTTGTAGGTACCAGAGGGAATCTCCTGGTCGTCAGGTTTTGTAGACGGTGGGAAAAGCACAGTATCCAAACCAGAGTGTTGGAGTGTCAGGAAAAGTCCCTAATGGCTTCCTATGGCTGGGAGCCTCTGGTGGGTCTTATGCGCAGGGATGAAGAAAAAGGTTTTTGTCAGACCAATAGCTGCACACCAAGTACCAGAAGTTGTGTTAATTTCTTCAAGAAATGAAACCACATCTGATACAGCAGCTGCAATTGGAGTCACCCCATTTAGTTAAGCTTACAGTAATCCACTGTCATTCTCCAGGATTCATTTGTCTTCTACACAGGCCAAAAAGGAGAGTTGAATAGAGATGTGGTGAGAATCACCACTCCTGCATCTTTGAGGTTTTTGATGGTGGTGTCAATCTCTGCATTACCTCCAGGATTGCAGTATTGTTTTTGCTGCACTATTTTCCTAGATAGAACCAGCTCTAATGGTGGACATTTGACCATTTCCACTTAATAGTCTTCACTACACTGGTTAAAAAATCAGTGTGGAGATTCTGCCAGCTGCTAAATATGTATATTCCAATTGTGCATTCTGGAACTGAAGAAATAATCACAGAATGAATTCAGAAACCCACTGGACCCACTGTGAGTTGAATCCGAGCTAAACCTGCATTAATCACCTAACCTCCATAAAGCCCTACTCTAACTGGTGGGTTACAGTGATGTTTGGATCTTATGGAATTAGTGGTAGTTCAGAGCCAGTGTTCCCTAGTCCCTGAAAAGTATTATTTCTCTTTCTCCACTGCAGTTACCCAGGTAAAGCATCATAAGTCCCTTTGAGAAAAAAAATGGAATAAAGATGAATGGTACAGATTTTTGGTAGTATACCGGTGTCATTCCTGGAGGGGACCTGGTTTCTCTTCCATTCAAGGTTTCCTAGGTCTGTAAACTGGCTCAAGTATGGGAATCGCTTTAGAACCCATTGTTGTCTGTTTTTATTACTTGGGTTAGACTTTTATTCACGTAACTTGAAAGTTTTCTGCTTATACAGACAAAGTAAAAATGTAGTAGTTTTCCTATCTCCATCCACTTCTAGGAATATCATGTTTAGCCAATGCCATAGATCCATGAAAATTAGACTATTCTGCTTGTTGTTTTGCCTTTGCTGTCTATTATGGTAACCATGCACACCTTATCTTTGAGGACTGAGTGCCACAACATGGCCTCTACCACCTCAGAATCTAATTATTCCTATTACTTTTAATTTTTTTAAATGATTGACTGAGGATCCCATGGTAAGGTCCAGCCTACAAGGAAGTGCAACCATGGAGCACTTCAGGGATATTGGGTATTCCCTCATAAACCTATTTCACAAGGTATTGGTGAAAGTTATGTCTTCTGAAATTTCCTGGTGTAGGTGAGATTTTACATGGCAAATCCACTCTAGTATTCCAATATCCCTACAGCACTGAATCCCTTTCTCTATGATAAGTCAAGGGAAATGGAGCCTCTCCAACGTGCTTATCATGGACCATATTTTGATATCTGTTTCAGCCAATGAACTAGAAAAACTTTTAGCACTTTTTCTACC